CTCAGGTAATCCACTTGCCTTGGTCTTCCAAAGTGCTGGGATTACAGGCTGAGCCACCGAGCCTGGCCAACCACTAATGTTTTTACCATCACTAGAAGATTCCCTTTTCCAGAATGTCATATAATTAGAATCATACAGTATATAGCCTTTTCAGACTGGCTTCTTTCATTTAGCAATATGTATTTAAGAATCAATCATCTATTTTTCTGGTGTGACTTGAGAGCGCAATTCTTTTTATTGCTGAACAATATTCCATTGTATAAATATACCACAGTTTATTCATTCATTTATTGTTAGATAACTTCCAGTTTTTGAAGACATGAATAAAACTAGTATAAAACATCTGTGTGGAGAATTTTGTGAAAACATGTTTTGAAATCAGTTGTATATATACCTAGGAATGCAAATGCTGAATTGTTTGGTAAGACTTTTTCTGTATATTTAAAAGGGTTGTAAAAAATGTCTATTAATTTTTTTAAGTTTCAGATTTGAGTAAATCTGACATTTTTTTTTTTAAGTTGGAGTCTCACTCTTGTCGCCCAGGCTGGAGTGCAGTGGCATCATCACCACCACAGCTTCAACTTGGTGGGCTTAGGTGATCCTTCCTCCTCAGTCTTCCAAGTAGCTGAAACTACAGAAGCATGCCACTATGCCCGGCTAGTTTTTATTGTAGTTTAGATTTATTGTAGAGACCAGGTCTCACCAAGTTGCCCAGGCTGGTCTCAAACCCCTAGGCTTAGGCAATCCTCTCGCCTCGGCCTCCCAAAGTGTTGGGATTACAGGCTGAGCCACTGTGCATGGCCTAAACCTGACTTTATAAAAAATAGTTATGTAACCTGCTCACATTTGGGAGATTGATAGTGACGTATTTTGGGGGGAGGTTCATGATTTCAAACATAAATTTAAATTCTTGTTCTCACAAGCAATATCTCAAAGATGATTTTTGTTTTCACAATACATATGTCTCCAGTGTGGAGGGCTTATACTTTCAAAGAATTTTAGTATTTAAATCAATGAGAATGAGCTGGGCATGGTGACTCATGCCTATAATCCCAGCACTTTGGTAGATGGGAGGATCACTAAAGGTCGGAAGTCTGAGACCTGCCAGCATAACACCTGTCTCTAACTAAACAGAAACAAATTAGAGGGGCATGATGGTGCCCTCCTGTAGTTGCAGCTACTCAAGAGGCTGAGGTCGAAGAGTTCCTTGAACTAAGGAGTTTGAGGCTTCAGTGAGCTAAGATCATACCACTGTACTCCAGCATGGGCAGCAGAACAAGACTTAGTCTCTTAAAACAAAACAAAACAAAACAAAACAATAACAATGGAAAGATAAAACCAGGCAGTGGGTTGGGTGTGCCATATCTAAATTACATAATGCTAGTTTGTTTTGAGATGGTGTTTCCATCTTTTCTCACTTAGGCCAGCCATATGATTATTAGGAATATGTGACATTTTTACTTTCTAAAACTATTTCACTCATTCAGCAAATATTTACTGAGTGCTTGTGCAAGAGAAAGGAAGGAAAATTGACACTCATTCTTTTATTCAACAAATATTTATTGAGAGTATTTTGCAAGAAGATTGGGATACAATACTAAACAAAATCTATATGGTCTCTATTCTCAGGGAGTTTACTGTCTCATGGAAGAGCAAATTTTTAAAGTTACACAAATTACTCTATTTAAAGTCTATGAAAGAAAGGAATGTTATAAAATGTGTGAATCTTTATAGAAGTAACTTTCAATAACTTTTCTCACCTAATTATAACAATCATGCATGAGACTAAGAGAGAATGAACATAGTCCCAGAGCAAGAAAAGTTCTGAAAAAGAATGTCTAATTTAGATCTATGTAATTCTAAAGATCATGTTTGACAACATTGTAATATCTCCTGAATTTCATGAAACCATGAGAGACAGAGCTTACCCTGACTTTACTGATACAAGAACTCATGCTGAGAGGAACTAGAACTCAAATCTTATGAGTAATTCACTTATTTTCCTATTATATCATAATGCTTCCTCAAAACAAGCTCTAAAACATTGATGATAGATATTTACAAACTGTACATGTAGGAATTGAATATATATATACATATATATGTATACATATATGTGTATGTATATATATGTATATATATAAATAAAAATATATATGTGTATATATATATATATATACACATATATATATTTTTTGAGTCAGACTCTCACTCTTTTGCTCAGGTTGGAGTACAGTGGCCTTCACAGTCACTGCAGCCTTGACCTGCTGAGCTCAGGTAATCCTTCTGCCTTAGCCTTCCAAGTAGCTGGAACTACAGGCACGCACCACCACACCTGGCTAATTGTTTGATTTATTGTAGAGACAGGGTCTCGCCAAGTTGCCCAGGCTGGTCTTGAACCCATGGGCTCAGGCAATCCTTTCCCCGCAGCCTCCCAAAGTGCTGGGATTACAGGTATGAACCACTGTGCTTGGCTTACTGTTTTATATTAAAAATAATAAATTATAAGACTGTTGTTGAAGCGAGTTACCATTATTCTTTTTTTTATTTATTTATTTTTTTTGAGTTGGAATCTTGCTGTGTTGTGCAGACTGGAGTGCAGTGGTACGCTCCCGGCCACCGCAGCCTCAACCTGCTGGGCTCTGGTGATCCTTCCGCCTCAGCCTTCCAAGAAGCTGGAACTACAGGCGTGCGCTACCACGCTAGTTTTTTGATTTATTGTAGAGATGAGGTCTCGCCAAGTTGCCCAGGCGGGTCTCGAACCCATGGGCTCAGGCAATCTACTCATCTCGGCCTCCCAAAGCACTGGGATTACAGGCTGAGCCACCAAGCCCGGCCCATTATTCATTTTAAAATAATTTTGGCAAATGTCTTACATTGCTCTTCCTTGCTGATTCTGTTATTTTTCATGCCTTTCCTTTCTTTCCCCTTCCTCCCTTCCTCCCTCCTTCCCTTCCTTCTTTCCTTCTTTCTTCCCTCTTTCCTTTTTATGGTCTTGCTCTGTCCTATAGGCTGGAGAACAGTAGCATGATAATGGCTCACTGTAAGCCTTGATCTCCCAGGCTCAAGCAACCCTCCCACTTCAGCCTCCCAGTAGCTAGGACCGTAGGTGTGTACCACCACGCCCAGTTGATTAAAAAAATTTTTTTTTTGTAGAGACGGCGTCTTGCTTTGTTGCCCAGGTTGGTATCAATCTCCTGGGCTCAAGCAATCCTCCCACCTCTGCCCCTAAAGTGCTTGGATTACAGACGTGAGCCACTGCGCCTGGCCTTGATTTTGTTATTTTTCTAGGCTAATCAAATATTTCATTGGACAAATCTATTGCTATGAGAGAGAATATAGGAAGAAACAGTTCTTCAAAGAAGCAGGCTCACTCTTAAACCAATTGTTTTGTGAAAGTTTATAAGAACAATTTCAGTTTATATCGTTTAGAATTTCACCGATTTTTTTTTTTCCACTGTGGTAGTTTCTTCTGATGACTCCATCAATGTAATAGGATATCTTAACTTTTTCCTTTCTTTCTTTCTTTTTTTTTTTAAGCCAGGTCTCTCTGATGCCAGGTCTGGAGTGCCGTGGCCCCTTCACACTTCATCACAGCCTCCAATTCCTGGGCTCAGGTGCTCCTCCTGCCTCATCCTCCCAAAGACTAGCTGAGTCTACAGGTGCGTGCCATCACACCTGGCTAATTCTTTTATTTTTTTGTAGAGATGTCATCTTGCTATATCATCCAGATTGGTTTCCAACTCCTGGGCCCAAGGGATCCTCCCGACTTGGCCTCTCAAAATACTGGGATGAACCATGGCGCCTGGCCTGAACGTTTTCTTCGCAGAGGAAAAACAGACAACACATTCATCTTTATGTGGGGTGCAATAGGAGAAAAGGATTTAAAAAAAGAATACAAGTAGCGAAAAAGCAAGATTACATTTATGAAAAGCCTATTTAGCTCTGCTTAAAAGTCTGTTCCTTGTCAATTTGTTTGCAGCAAGAGACAGGAATATAATATAATACAGAAGAAAATATACTATTATAACATAGGAGAAGGCCGGGCTCGGTGGCTCAGCCTGTAACCCCGCGCTTTGGGAGGCCGAGGTGAGTGAATTGCCTGAGCCTGCGGGTTCGAGACCCACCCGGGCAACTTGGCGGGACCTCATCTCTACAATAAACCAAAAATTAGCCGGGCGTGGTAGCGCGTGCCTGTAGTTCCAGCTACTTGGAAGGCTGAGGGGGAAGGA